GCAGTGGAAAAAAGCACACACATGCCTCTTTTTGGAGGAAGCGTCAGCTGAGTTTGACACTTGCTCAAATAAAGACGTAGTGGCTGGGGCAGCACTAAATAACAACACAATTTGTTTTTGTTTCTGCAAACCTCGTCTTGCTCAAGCACTTACTGTCTCTGCTCCACCACATCAGCCAAAATGCCGAGACCAACAGGATGGACTCCAGCAATCTGGCCATCTGCGTTGGCCCAAATATGCTGAGCCCAGAGATGGACAACACGCTCCCGCTGGAAGTGCAGAAGGAGATGAATGACAAGGTGTGTTGAACTCACCAAGCAGCCACCTGCCTCGGGGCAGCTCAGAGCCATCCATGGGGATCCCACTGCCATTGCAAAAGCTGAACAAAACAGCACCCCTGGGCATCGGGGGTGCTCCTCCTCTCAGGTGCCTGCAACGTGATGGGCAAGGCTGCCCCTCGTCTCGCCTCCTCTGAGCACAAGTAGTGGTTGCCCTGCAGCCCCTGTGTCGTGTCACAGCTCCTGAATACTTTGCCACAGAGAGCAAGGGCACCCTGTGGGGAGTGTCACCCACCATCCCTCTGGACAGTGAGGCTGAAGCTGTGGCTGATGGCGTTGTCTGTATTGGGGCAGATCAATTAGTCTGCAGCATCAGCCCTCATCCTCCGGAGTGGGCTCACCCTCTGACTTAAAGCTGGCATTTTGTCAGAAGCCACCCTTCACTGTGCTGCCCTTCACACAAAGACAGCAGGCAGGGGCCAGAAAGACTGTTCAGTATGTTTTCAGCCCTTTTGACTGAAATAAACTGTTTTCTGTGTGCAGGTGACAGTGTTGGTGGAGTTCCTCATAAACAACTGCTCAGAAATATTTGGGGAGGGCATTGCCTTGCCTGTCTGTGCCTTGGCTGAGGAGTCACCAGAGCACACCGACAGTTCCACAGGTATGAGAATGGACTGGGGATGTCATAGACTGGCTGCTGGGCCAAATTCTTTAATTTGATATGGGAACACATCTGTGGAAACACAGAGAGTTGTAGAGGGTTCAAGACACTGTTGCAGTGCTCTTCTACAGGAACTTTTTCCATATAGTTCCCTTTCATCCTCAGATGGTCAGTGAAAACTAACAGGTTCTTTCTCACCACAGAACACCTGTGTGCTGCTCATCAGAATGACTCTGCCTATGACAGCCCAGATCCTGAAGCTGAAGGCAGCCCCCAAACCTCTAAGATGGAGCAGCCCAAAGGGAGGAGCACTACCATGAACAGAAGATATCCAACACACATCTCTGCCCCTTCACTGAGTAATTTCAGAAGTGACATCAGCACGATGGACAGGAGGTACTCCGAGCCAGACCTGTCTTTCCAGAACCGCCTTGAAGGCAGGATAAGGAAACAGAAGCTAAACAGAAGTGAGGACAATTTTCCGATTCATCAGAAACAGCTAGGGTTGGAGGCACTGGAGAAACGGCTTGCAATCTTACCTTCACAATTATCAACTGACTCTCTACCCAAAACATCCTCCAGTTGCTCACTGGAGAGCTCTGATGGCTCAGTCTTCACCAGCTCTCCAGTAGTTTCACCCTCTAGTCCCAAAAAGACCTTTTTAAATAGGCCCCAGTCCTTTTCCACAAAGGCCACTGAAGACTGCAGTACACCTAGCAGAGAAATCAAAAAGCATTCCATGTCATTCTCTTTTGCAAACCGCAGGAAAACACTAATAAAAACCCAGAGCTGGGGGCCTGGAAAATACATGGGTTTTCAGAGAGACAGTTTCACAAAGAAAGAAGATCAGTTCTCCTGCAGAGTTGTCCAGGAGAACAGCCCTGATGATGACAAACCATTGCCTGTGGTGTATCAGCAAAGGCTCCGTTTCAGGTCAGCTGATGAAGTGTTCAGAGAGGTAGACCAGAAGAATCCTGGAAGACCACCCTCTTACGAAGAGGCTACTAAAAACTGCCTGGCCACTAACGTTTCCTCCCACAATCTCACAGTTCAAACTATGAGATTAAAGGTGTCAAACCAGGATGATTTGCTGCCTCATCCATGCAGCAGCTGTGCACATGACGCAGCATGTACAGCTCTAAGGGATCTACCCAGGGGCAGAGTTTCTGCAGTGAAGGATTCTGATGCGGAAACTGAAACCCTCAGCATCACTGTGGGAATAAACTCCCGTGTGAGCTTACCCGTGACCCCAGGAGTCTACCGATTGAGAGCCATGTCTGAATCCTGTCAAAAGAACAAACTTGAGTATGTGGCTCGGAGGTGCAGCCAGCCAGTTTTTGAGGTAGACCAGATACAGTATGCTAAGGAATCCTATGTTTAAAAAGTCTATCCCTCCTTGCACTGTACAAAGCAGATACTGTAAAAATAGACATCTTGCTCATCCTTTGTAAGATTTAACTTTCAAGAGACCAAGAATAAGCTAGCTTTGCATGAACTCTTTTTTCCTTGAGGGTCTTCTAAAGTGTCTTGACAGGTCACATTCTTTCACCACAAGAGGTGGTGGTGGGAAAGACCTGTGTATTATTATGTAAAAATGTAAGTGGTTATCTGTACATAACTTGTTGTGTGGGAAAACTAGTTAGTAGTTGATAAAGTGTTGTGTTTGTATCCCTGAAAGGGCAATTAAAGAGTTGGCAGGTCCAAAACCTGTCCCACATTCCTTTTCTTTTCTGTATGGTTACAGACTCCATGCCATTTGTCACATGTGTGTGCCAGGCTGATTGAATTCTTTGCTCATTTTCTGCATTAAGAAGTGGGCTGGCAGTTACTCCAGCTGAGGAAGAGCTGTTCTGTTATCAAGGTCACTTCAGTATTCTTCCATAAATCCCCTGTACCTGCTGCCACTCCCTCTTCTTGCTTGCTGGTCATGAGAATGATCTGACCACTAGCCAGCATGTGTTGTATACCGAGCCTGGGTTTAGAGCCACCAAAGCCCTACAAGGTCATTATGGGAATGTATCAAGTAAACCTCATGTGGCCTGAGGTGCTTTTAGTCTAAATAAATGGGACAGGCTAAGCAGAAAGAAGGAGTATCTTCAGGTTTGCTTTTATGAGGGGAAAAAAACCCAAACAACAAAAACCTGTAAGGATTTGTTTCCTGTAAGGAAACATTCTGGACTCCAGCTTTAAAGAGTTAAAGATGCAGCTCATTAAAAAAAAAAGAAAAAAGACAAAAAATAAAGTACCAGGCGGTATCCTTATAATCTTGTAAAAATGACTGGAAGTGCAATGTGTTTTTACATGTAGGAACTTGTTTTGGTTAGCACTTACCTCCCCTTCCATGATTCATCATAGCCTTGAAGCAGGAACAGGGAGACTTTTGTTTTTCTCCTGTGTAACTTCACTACAATAAAACATTTTTCTGCATGAATACTAGACTGTCCATTGTCTGTCTTTAAAACATCCAGGCACTACATGTACTGTACCTACTTTTATACTATTCCACAGGTACTGCAGGTCTGCTTGAATGACACGGCATATCTAAGTAGCAGGAAGGAAAGTAACTGACCAGCAGTATCACTACTGTTATTGTTGTAAGAGGCTGGAGGCTAGACTTAGCTGCAGAGAGGTGATGCTGCTTCAAAAGTAGAGCAGATTAGAAAATAGCATCCCAGCATCTCAGGTGTGATATTTTCCAGGTGTAGGTGTTCCTAGGACACAGGGAAAGGGGGTAGGAGAGTACCTGGACTGACAGGAGAAAATGATGTGAGAAGGACCATACTGGTAGGCTTCAACTAGAGAAGATGCCACCTCGCTCAGCCCCCTAAGCGGTGGCACTCTCCTTCCAAGCAAGCTGAACGAGAGGGCTCTGCTGGAAGCTCCAAAAAGCACTTTTGATTTTCTGGAAATTGCAACTCTTGAGTTGCAGAATCACAGAACAGGTGAGGCTTGAGATCCTCCTGTCCAACCCCACTGCTCAAGCAGGGTCAGCTACAGCAGGGTTGCCCAAGACCATGTCCAGATGGCTTTTGAAAATTTCCACAGATGGAAACTCTGCAACATCTCTGGGCAACCTGTTCTCGTGTTTGACCACTCTCACAGTGGAAGAAGTGTCTCCTTGCATTCAGATGGAATTCCATGTGTTTTAATTTGTGCCCGTTGCCTCTTCCTGTGTTGAGAAGGAATGACAGCTTTCTTTTGTAAAAAACACAAACGTCTTGCCCTCATGGGAGAACGAGTGTGAAGAGATAATCCACATGCAGTGGAAAGGCTCAGAAGCCATGGAACAGAAAACACGAACTTCAAAATGTACTCAAACAACGACACAGCTACTTCTTTGATAAGTCACTCATTCTTTTTGACTGTGACAAGACAAGGATCCCAAGAAGAGGAACTGCTCATTTCCTGTCCCGTAACTGCACCAGAAAACCCAGGGAGAATAAGCACAGTCAATTCATCAGAGATGAGGAGTGTCTCTCTTTAGGTCCAAGGTGTCCCAAGGCAGACATGCCAATCACACTCAGAAAGCTTACCTGGTCTCTAAATATTCAATATAGATAAGCCAAAATTTTCCAGCTCCTGGATAAGAAAGCACATTTGGACTTTCTTGCAAGGCACTTCAATAGACGGAGAAAAAGGAAGAGAGAGGAGATCTACACATTGTTAACAAACAAGGGGTGTCCTTGTCCTTAACAAGGGGTAAGGTGAAGGAGTTGTATAAAAGAGCGGTCCAGTCCCCCTCACCTTGCTCTTGCATTTCTTCAAGTCCAGGAAACACCACGATTAAACAAAATCTGAATGTAAATGGACCCCAAAAAAGATTTACTCCCTCATTGACAGATAACTTTTGTCTTCCTTCATCTCTTAAGACTTGCCTGTCAGCCTTATTTTCATGCCACGTCCCTTCACAGAAGTGATTTCTATATAAGCACTTAGGAAACCTCAAAAGACTAGAATGACACAGAAAGCAGAGTGCTTTGCTTTAGCACTGAGTTGTCTGCCTTCAGCTCAGAAAACGGTTTTATCACTCTACCAGCCCACCACATCACCTTCAAAGATCCAGCCCAACTGATCTAGTTGAAGATGTCCTTGCTCATTGCAGGGGAGGTGGACTAGATAACTTTAAAAGGTCCCTTCCAACCCAAAGATTCCATGATTCTATGATTCTATCCTGGCCTCCAAGAGTAAGGCCCTTTAACTGCTATATTCAACAACAGAATTATCTGACTATCTTTGTCAAAGCTGCCTTTGACGACTCAGCCAGAAAGATCAAATACCCATTTACAGCTGAGTCAGCTGGAGGTGGATTTTGGCACAAGAACTGAATGATGACAGTAAGCCTCCTGTTCTCCACAGGTTACTCCATCACTAGTATTGGATCACGTGCTTCACACATCCAATTCTCTAATCAAATTTCATGAAGACGCTCTAAACATATAAGGCATATAGGACTGGAAGAGGGAAAAAGCAATATTAAAGCAGAAAATCCAAGCCGTTGCCTTGTAAGACAATGCTGGAATTAAGGCTGTTGGTGCAGCCTGAATTCATTTTCTTGTGTTTGCATCCTGCTGTTGTTTTCAATCACGGTGACACACTCTGCTCTTCCCCACAGGATGCACCTGCTCTGGGGAGCAACCAAACTCGTGCCACAAAGGAGAAAATTTTAATTCTGTCATTCCACAGCATGGCTCATCTAGCAGGGCACCTGGGCTTTCGACATATGGCTATGTCTCATTTTCTAGGATTTGAAAGAGCCAACAGAAGAACAAAGGAGTTCCTCATGCAGGAACATGCTCCTCTCTTTCTTTTCCCATGTTGTGCGCTGGGGAGTTGCAAACTCTTGTTCTCTTGAATTAGGACAACAACTTACAGCAAAAGCACATTGTCATGAACTCTATGGCCAAACATTAGTGAAGGCTGAGAGAAATACCATGCCTGCAGGTTTCACAAACATTGACTGGCACTCAGGTGCAGACTGTAGACAGAGACACTTACATTTAGTTACCTGTATGCAAGTATTTATGTGAGCCTGTGTCTCATCTTCTTCACAGTCTGCATTTGAGTATCTCTCTGGACTCCTGGGACTGAATTGAGTGCAGGTGGAACACAGCTGCCTGAAAGTAGACGTCTACAGTCATTTGGGTGGGTATCTTAGGGCACCTCGAGGAATTTTCTAAGGCATCAAAAGTGGATGCACATCCAGATGTTTAGGCAGCTGAATCCTTCCCTAAAATGTCCTCTGACTGTGATGGGAGCTTAGACTCCCACCTCACACATAGATGCCACATTTAGATACCTTGAATGTAGGTCTCTATAATCTAGGGCTGACACTTTTACTGACAGCAGAGAAACAGTAAAACTTGGGATTTTAGGCTCCAACTAAGCCTTTAAAGGAAGCATTCTTGAGCAGGTATAGGCCCTCCTGCTTGCCCCGCTCCAGAGCTTTGGTCCTTCTGCTCCATCCCACCACAGATAACCCTGACTCAGACCTCTCTCTTCTCCACTCCTGACTCCTCATTTCTGTCTCATTTTCATTGCTTCCCCATTCCCAGCCTGCATTCCTCACCTCATCCTGCTATTTATATTTTAATTGAACCAAACCAAAACTATCCCTGTGGACTTGCTCAAAGTCTCAATTTAATTTCTGTCTTTTCCATCCCCAGACCCACTTCTCTCAGTTAGCCAGTTTCAGTTTTCCTCTTCCAATTCTTCCACATTTTTCCTTCATATTTGCACTGGTATTGCAATAAGCTCCACCAACTTATTGGGCTCATCCAGTCTCAGTCCCATACACCTCCATCCCCCTTTAGTCTCTGCATATGCAGAGAATCAGAATAGGAACAGGAAACATCTCTGCAAGCTACAGGAAAATATATACAATTCATGAAGTCCAGCGATGACCTCAGTTCACAGCTGTAACTATGAAAAGCCTCTAGGATGAAACTCCCATGGATGGAGGTCCTCGACTTTATGGGATTTCAGCAAGGTCTGCACATCTCTTGTTGTGGGGAAGTATGGGCTGTCAACTACTTTGGAAGGAGACTTGGAGCTAGGTTAAGGTAAAATAACAAATCAAAATGAGCCACCTTCCCCTCACCTCACCAAAGCAATTCACAACAATTATGTTAGGGATATTTTTGGTAATTTGCCTACATTCTCTGAGAACAGGCATTGTCAGTACATTGATTTTTGCTGCCTCTACATAGCAAGGACTTGGGGAAGAAGCTTTCTCACCTGTCTGACATCCTCTCAAAGATGTTATCTGAAGGTCATCTCTTTCTGGGAATTGCAAAAACTGAAGAGATCATGAATCCTTCACACCTCAGGAAGAACAACTGCTGGCCAGTTAACAACGATGCACAAGATAGTTATTACTACCAT